TATTTATATTTGTGTACAAGCTGTTTAGATTGTCAAAAAGCCTGTGTTATTAGGGTTATTAATGAAGTTTGTGTACTCAGACCAGTAATATTTGGGGTCACAAGTTTTTGCCATGGATATTTTGTGGGTCAGAAGATAAAAAGTTTGGGAACCTCTGGTATAGAGAACAGGGCTTTCTCTGTCTACTTAAAAAAGGAATGAAAAGAGCTTTAATAAAGCTGTAAATACATTTTAAACCATCGGTGGTTGGGTTGATGATAGCTGATGTAAAATGTTTTAGCTGGTGGTCCAGTCGTAATAAGAATAGCACCTAACAAGATGGCCTCCAGGACCCTGTCCCAGTGTGTTTGTGTGTCAGTGGGCCTGTCCTGTTGATGCTGCCATGTGTGTGTTGTGTCTTGTGTGAGTGTGCCCTCTGCCCTGTGTCCCAGTGTCAGCTGAGTTTGAGGCAGCCAGGCCAGAGGAGCCTCAAGAGACACGAAGACCTGAGCTGTCCCCAAACCCCAGTCCCACCCCCGCTGAAACGCAGCGCCCCAAACGACCCCCTCCTCCTGTTGTAAGGGGAGAGGGGCCRGGCACTGTGGCAGCAGCGCCTGAGGCCAGCTGTGAGTAACTGGGCTGGTGGATTGCAGGACTGCAGTGCATGGTGCAGGGGGGCCTTGTTGCTTGACTCTTTCTGTCCGTCTTATGAAGCTGCTGCTGCTGAATGAACACAACTGGTGCTAACGGCAACATTTGCTCTCAGTGTAATGGTCAACCAGCAACCATGTGTGTTTGTGTGAGTGTGAGTGTGCACCTGAGTGTGTGTCATGCATTGCATGCTCATGTTGAAATGTCCTTTTGTTGTTTCATGAACCAGCTGGGCCTAACGAGGACGGTTCAGTGGCCACGGCTGAGCAGCCCTCTGAGACTAAATCTGAGTTTGAGACTAAACCAGGTACTCCTCTAGAGGTTTAGAGACCTGAACCACTGCTGTAGAACCGTCAGAAACCCTCAGACTGTGTGTGAACGTGAATAAAACACAACACAATCATTTTATTCACAATAGAACATTAATATTTTAACAGATTAAACTGAGAAACTGAACAATTAAATAATTAATCAGGACATTTTGAATTCAGTGGCAGAAACAACCGTCTGTAAAGTCCAAGACCTGAGGAGACCAGGTCTGCAGGTTTTACAGGACCTGAGGAGACCAGGTCTGCAGGTTTTAGAGGATCTGAGGAGACCAGGTCTGCAGGTTTTACAGGACCTGAGGAGACCAGGTCTGCAGGTTTTAGAGGATCTGAGGAGACCAGGTCTGCAGGTTTTAGAGGATCTGAGGAGACCAGGTCTGCAGGTTTTACAGGACCCGAGGAGACCAGGTCTGGAGGTTTTACAGGACCTGAGGAGACCAGGTCTGGAGGTTTTACAGGACCTGAGGAGACCAGGTCTGGAGGTTTTAGAGGATCTGAGGAGACCAGGTCTGGAGGTTTAGAGGGACTGAGGAGACCAGGTCTGGAGGTTTTACAGGACCTGAGGAGACCAGGTCTGGAGGTTTTACAGGACCTGAGGAGACCAGGTCTGGAGGTTTAGAGGGACTGAGGAGACCAGGTCTGAAGGTTTTAGAGGACCTGAGGAGACATGGTCAGGAGGTTTTAGAGGACCTGAGGAGACCAGGTCTGGAGGTTTTAGAGGACCTGAGGAGACCAGGTCTGGAGGTTTAGAGGGACTGAGGAGA